GTATGTGGGTGGAGTGATCTATACAATGATTATTTTAAGGTGAATATTTACACAATATCTAAAATTTGCCAGGCACTATTGTTAAGGCCTGGGGTTGATGGAAACCTGATATTATCATTATTTCATCTCATGTGAGATAAATCAAGAAAAGAAAGAACTGTGAAATGTTGTTTATAAGTACATGGAGTGGTAACTCAGGAGGGAAACCAAACCCAGACTTTGCAGGCTCAGGAAAAGCTTTTCAGAGGAAATATATAAAGGAATCGATAAATGAATAATGAATTGGGAAAAATACGGTGACCTTGAAGTAGGATTAAAGTTTCCGGCAAAGGGAAGACCAATTACAAAAGCTCACAATTGACCAAGGGGAAAGAAGTTTGAAAAACTGAAAGTAGTTCCTGACCTGGGGAAATAAAGCCTTTGAGGTGAACTGAAGCTAGATCATAAAGACTCTCATAAGCTTTATTTACTTCCCGTTCTTTAAACAACTGAATGTTAATTAATATTGTATAATTTAAATTCTTTCAGTTTGGTTAAGTAGTTTTAGAAAAATAGTTTTTAAATTTCCTATTGTCCATTAAGAAATGAATTACACTGGTAAATAAAAATAATAAAGTGTATCCTATGTTTCATCTGGAAGTTGGGACTTCAAATTTATTTTTGCAAGATTCATGATGTTTAATAATTTTGTTTGCATTTGCTCTTGGGAGGAAAATGTGGATATAAACCATTTATGATGCTTCTCTCTCAGCTGGAAATTACTCAGAAAACTCTTCATCAGACTTAAATTCAATTTACAATAACTATTTTAATGATCTCAGTTTTTTATTTTAAATACACAGATGACTTTTGAACAACACAGGTTTGAACTGCATCATTTCACTTATACACAGACTTTCTTCGGCCACTGCCACACCTGAGACAACATGACTAATCTCTCCCCTTCCTCCTCCTTGGCATACATTCAACATAAAGACAATGAGGATAAAGGCATTTATGATGATCTACTTCCACATAATGAATAGTAAATATCATTTATCTTCCCTATGATTTTAATAATATTTTCTTTTCTCTAGCTTACTTTATTGTGCAAATGGAGCATATAATATATATAAAACACACATAATACATGCTTATCAACTATTTATGTTATCAGTAGGGCTTCCACTCAACTGTAGGCTCTTAGCAGTTAAGTCTTGGGAGAGCCAAAAATTATAGCTGAAGTTTTGACTAAATTATATTCAGTCAAATTATAAATTATAGCTGAATTTTGTGGGGGGTCAGCACCCTTAACTCCCATCTTGTTCAAGGGGTTACTGTATTCTGAATTGTCTTTTAGCTTGAGTCATAATGCAGGTATGGTGAAAAACATTTGTATCTATTTAAAAATAATATAGGTAAGAGTTTTAAAAATTATATATTTTTCCTACATGTTATTTGGGAAGAACTTAAAATGGAGTTATGTAAGAAATATATAAGCCTTTTAAATTTGACCTTTTATTTCTGGCATTAGAATCTACTATAAGGGGAAGGAAAATGTGTAAATAGAAATGAAGCAAACTATTCAGAACTGTTTAAGATCATGTATAAAAAGTTATACTTAAGTTACTTTTCTGCCTGGAAACTGCAATAAAGCAATATGACTTTTTAATATTTTACCTATTGCTAAAATTTATCTCATTCGCCCATATTTTATTATGCTGTATAAGATATGAGATGTGGGAAATCTAGTAATTATCAGAAATAATATACTTTGTGAACAAAATATATACTTTAGGAATGGAATAAATAAATAATGAAATACTATTTGTGAGTTTTTTTGTGTTTGAATTTGTCATGATGCATGCCTTTTTTGTCACGTTTTGTTCTTTTCTAGGATTACGATAGGTAAAAAATTATGAGATGATTAGGAATTTGTAACTGAAAGACAAGCAGACTTTGAAAGAAAAGGATATTCCAGATATTCCATTTGGTACTTGTGAAACATCAAAATCATGTAATTTCATAATTATGGAAACTTCTTAAGAAATAGTGAGTTATAAAAGAAGACATATAAGATTATACAAACGTATAAAAAAGCTCAATATCACTAATCATCAGATAAATGTAATTAAAACCAAGTGAGAGACCATCTCACCTCAGTCAGAATGGCTGAGTAAAAAAAAAAAAGTAAACAACAACAACAACAGATGTCAGCAAGGGCACAGAGAAAAGGGAACACTTATACACTGTTGGTAGGAATGCAAATTAATACAACCTCTGTGGAAGGCAGTATGGAGATTTCGCAAAGAACTTAAAATAGAACAAGCATTCAACTAAGCAATCTCACTACTCAGTGTCTACCCAAAAGAAAAGAAATTGTTATATCAAAATAAAGCCTGCACTCATGTCTTTATCCCAACAGTGATCATAATAGCAAAGTCACAGAATTAATCTAAGTGTCCATCAGTGGATGACTGGATAAAGAAAATATATATAAACACCATGGAATACTATGCAGTCATAAAAAATAATAAACTAAAGTCTTTTACAGCGACATAAATGGAACTGGAGACCATTATCTCAAGTGAAATAACTTAGAAACAAATATTAAATAAAAAATATTAAAACTAAAAAAAAGTAAAGTAGTCACTTAAGCCTTGCATCTTTAGTAAGCATTAATGCTTATATCTTATCTCCTGAGAAATTACCTGGGAGAAAGAGAAAGGAAGGAAGAAAGGAAGGAAGGAAGGAAGGAAGGAAGGAAGGAAGGAAGGAAGGAAAGAAGGAAGGAAGGACGGGAGGGACGGAGGGAGGGAAGGAAGAACTTAAAAAGAGTAAGCTCAGGGTCTTGTTGCTTGGAAGAAAAATGTAAACTTTAGATGCTAGCTCAAAAGTCTGCTATGCTAGCTTTCAAGTCTGATATGAATCACAGCTCCTCATTTGAAAACCTATTAAAAATAGCAGCAAGTTTAATAAACAGCAAGCTAAATCTCTTGAGAATAATTCAAGCTGACATTGAAATGTGTGCTGTCAAAATTTTGCTCTGTAGACTTAGACACGCTGCTATTTGCCCAGCATTGGGGAAGGGGAGGAGCACAAACCGACTCACAGTTCGAGATGTTGGAGGAGCGGAAGGACTTGTTAGGGAAACCATCTCCTGGATTGCTAATCGGAGTTTTAAGCGATGCAGTGGATTGCTGATTCCAATTTCTCTCTGGATCTCAGTGTCAGATAAAGCAGACATGATGGCACCACTCTTCACGTTGGCTCGGCAGGCTGCAACGTACCATGCAGGCATTCCCAACCAAAGCTGTTAGATAGGAAAAAATGCATTAACAAATTATAATAATAGTTGTCATTTTAGTGTCTCATATGCCAGGAATTATTTTATGTATTTTACATACATGACCTCATCCCATGAGATAAAATGTTACCATTATTTTCCCCAGAGGAGATAGATGCACAAAGAAATTAAATGATGTATTTAAAAACAACAGCAAGGTAGTGATAGAAACAAGATTTGAAATTGAGAAATGCTAGCTCCAGAGACTCTATTTTAACTAATTCATATTACTAGTGATAAAAGTAATTGCTGCATGGCACCAAGTTCCCCTTTGTATGTAAGAACTAGAACGGCTACAAGCCACATTTGATAAGGGACTCAATTAATGTTTGTTTAATGAGTGGCTTCAATTTATAATGCTCCTTTGAAATTCTGAGTGAAGAGAAATTCTGTCACAGAAAGAGACAGCTGTGCCATAGCCAGCCATGTGATTTTGATCAAAACATGCAGTGTAGCTAAGCCACATTTCCACCTACCTTCCTATACCATGTGAAAGATGTGTGAACTTAATTAGATGCTATATATGAAAATGCCTTTTGGAGAGTGAAATGATGTACTAAGAAAGAAGTTAAAATTCAAATCATTGAAAAACTAAAGAAAGTAACAAAATTAATAATGCATCAGAAATTAGAGATTTTAAGGCTAGGCACAGTGGCTCATGCCTGTAATCCCAGCACTTTGGGAGGCTGAGGTGGAAGGATCACTAGAAGTCAGGAACTTGAGACCAGCCTGGCCAACATGATGAAACATCATCTCTACTAAAAATACAAAAATTAGCTGGGCATGATGGCGGGTGCCTATAATTCCAGCTACTTGGGAGGCTGAGGCAGGAGAATCACTTGAAACTGAGCGGCAGAGGTTGCAGTGAGCTGAGATCAGGCCTTTGCACTCCAGCCTGGGGACAGAATGAGACTCTGCCTGAAAAAAGAAAAGAGAAGAGAAGAGAAGAGAAGAGAAGAGAAGAGAAGAGAAGAGAAGAGAAGAGAAGACAAGACAAGACAAGACAAGACAAGACAAGACAAGACAAGACAAGAGAAGACAACAACAACAAACAAAGACGCCAGGCGTGGTGACTCATGCCCGTAATCCTAGCACTTTGGGAGGCCGAGATGGCTGGATTGCCTGAGCTCAGGAGTTCGAGACCAGCCTGGGCAACAGGGTGAAACCCTGTTTCTACTAAAATTAAAAAAAGAAAAAAAAAATCAGCCGGGCGTGGTGGCCGGTGCCTATAATTCCAGAATTCCAGTTACGTGGAAGGCTGAGGCAAGAGAATTGCTTAAGCCCGGGAGGCAGAGGTTGCGGCTCCGAGACTGTGCCACTGCAATCCAGCCTAGGGAACAAAGTGAAACTGTCTCAAAAAAAAAAAAAAAAGAAATTAGATATTCTGATTTTTTAATTTTGCTGTGAGACTCTTGAAAGACAATTAAACCAGTAGTTCTATCAACAGAGCACGGGTCTGGTGCACCCTCAAGCACTGCGTGAATGCCAATCACAGGCATTATATTTCAGCATCTGAATAACATCACTTAAAGCGGGAATATTCTCCCATTTTCCCCCCATCATTAGTTATGAGTAAGAAGTAGAAAACACAACAAAAATGTAGCAGTTTACGTATTTGTTTTTGAATGTCCAAAAGATTGATTGATATTTTTTTGATATTTGTTGAAATAAATAGGTTGAACAAAGGAGAGAATTGTGAGAGTGAGAACAAGTAAGTGAGATAAAGAAGAAAAACTATAAATCAGCAAAATACGGTGCCAAGAGCTCTAGACTACAAATCAGAAGACCCGAGCCCTAATTCCTTTCCAGTCTCATTGGTGAGTCATGTAACCCATTTAAACCTCAGCCATATTTTCCTCATTTGTAAAATGAAGGAATCAAGCTTGATTATTTCTGAGGCATCGTGATAGCTGTCAAAATGATCTCTACCTCCTGATATCCATTCCCTTCTATAATCTCCTTCCTTTGGAGGTTGGCTTGGCCCAGTGATTTATTTCTAATAAATAGCTGATGATAAAAGTGATAGGATGTCGCTTTCCAGTTCAGGCAATAAAAAAACTATGGCTTCATTCTTGTTAGTCCCCTTCTGCTCTCTCTTTCCCGCTGAGCTCTCACTCTGGAGCAAGTCAGATCTCAGTAGCCGTATGGAGAGTCCCATATGACAAGGAACTAATATTTCTGGCCAACAGCCAGCAGGAAACTGAATCATGACCCTGGCCATATAAATGAGCATGGAAGTGGATTCTCCCCAAGTCCAGCCTTGAGATGACTGCTGCCCTGACTGATACCTTGATTGCAGTCCTATGAGAGACTCTGAGCAGAGGCCATCACAAAGCTATTCCCAGACTTCTGACCCATAGAAGTCATGAGATCATAAATGCCAAATTTGGGGGTAATTTGTAAACAGCAATAGATAACCAGTACAAACATCCTTTTAGTTTAAAAATTCTACAACATTTAAAGAATATTTCTCTCTTTTGAAAAAAAAATGCCAACAAACGAAACTTTTTGAGTCAGTGTGGACTGGGTTGTGATAGTGATAAGAGAAAATAAGAGGAAGATGCTGCTTTCTTCCAGTGGGTTAGGCACAAATAATTGACCTTGACGGGTACATTATATATGACCGAAGATAGGACTTAAATATTTAGTTTATAAACTCAAACTGTTCAAAATAACTAACATCTAAACATATCTTCTTTGGATCCTAATGATTTTTTTTACCCCTGTCTTCTAAGATATTTGAATTTCCACACAAGTTAACATCACCCAGATGCCTGCCAATACATTGTTACCAATGTCATCCATAATTAGACCTTTAAGAGTCTTTGATGTGGATAAATGGAGTGTGAAGCATGGAATTCTCGTCGACACAAAATTCTTAACAGGCTGTGCACTCAAGGAGGAGCGAAAGGAGATGAAGTTAAAGCTTTCATTCATTGGATCACTCAGCTCATTCATCTTGTTTATTCCATTTCATAATTTAAGTTGCATTAGGAATCACATTATAGGCAATTTCTATGTACTCAGAATAGGTTTAATTAGCAGAAACTTCACTGTCTGTCATCTCCTATCACCTTAATGTCAGTAAATCTGTTTTTTTTTTTCTTTTTATCTGAAGGATTTGTTCGTCGCTTGCCAAAACAGCAGCGAACTCTTTGTCAAACTGCAGCTCATTTTATCGGAGAAAAAACCGAACAAAGAACTGCTATCATTTCTGAGGTATGATTTCTTAAGCATTTTGTCTTGTGATTGATTTTTTAAATATAGTAATTTTAAAGACACGGTTGAAAGAAGCAGCTCTGATCGCTAATATCTGATGGCTAATATGCCAAATTTCCCTGTCTGATGTGAAAGAATAAAGTAAAAGCAAAATACAGGCATTTTTCATTCAGTCCAAGAAAAAATACAAAGCATGTTTCTAGATATAGCTATGTAAGTCTATTTTTAAAACTAAAATGGGCTTTAATGTTTCGTTATTGATTATTTCTTAGCTCTAGCTATAATAAAATGAAGATAGATAATTTTATAATCCAAGACCATTTAAAACACTGTGTATAATTATCTCTGTCAGGCAAGGAAAGCCTGGATTCTTCTTTGCCCTGACACAGGCATATCCCAGCAGCTACTAGCAGCTCACAGAGAGAACTGAATAGAAGGGGCAGTGAGCACTACTGTTAAGTGACACAAAAGAGCCCTTTGCAGTCAAATATGTAGTTTCCTCAATATCAGAATCGGTTTCTGCTGCCTTCCACCCTGTTCAGATATTCCCTTATTTTTCCAGAACACTATGTTGTACGGGAAATGCTAAAAACAATTCTTTTATTGTAGCATTCAGTTTGGACACATAAGGGAATAAGGGGTAAGTCTTCTGTTTTATCCCAAGTGTCTAAACCTAGCTGGTCCCTAGGCTTTAGGGAATTAGGTTCAGCAATTAAATGATAGGCAAAGGAATGTCTCTCGGTATATCTAGGTGATCTTACTCTCTTGGATTACAGAAGTGTTGAATATGGAGAGGGTCTTCTCTGTAACCTGCTAATGAGAAAGGACCCTGGCGTAATGGATGTGAATGGATGTTTTCTTGCAACAATAAAACTTTGTTTCTTCTCCGCGGGGCGCAGTGGTTCACGCCTGTAATCTCAGCACTTTGGGAGGCCGAAGTGGGTGGATCACAAGGTCAGGAGATCGAGACCATCCTGGCTAACACGGTGAAACCCTGTCTCTACTGAAAATACAAAAAAAATAAAAAAATAAAAAAATTTAGCCAGGCGTGGTGGCGGGCACCTGTAGTCCCAGCTATTCAGGAAGCTGAGGCAGGAGAATGGTGTGAATCCGGGAGGCGGAGCTTGCAGTGAGCCGAGATCTCGCCACTGCCTCCAGCCTGGGTGACAGAGTGAGACTCCGTGTCAAAAAAGAAAAAATTGTTTCTTCTCTGGCTCTAGAAATGAAGAGGGTGTAATTTAGAGACACTTCCTTTTATCCCACTGCATGCTTTCTTCTGCTACAATCACAAAAAGTGTCAGAGTAAAATCACAAACCTATTCCCTAGTAAGCAAATAGTCCCTTATGAGCAAATCCAGACTAAGGGGGTGCTGTGATTTCAGAAACTTGCCTTTACCTGTCTCAAATAAACTATCAACTTAGAAGTGATTGATTTAAGGGCCTCCTGGTTTCATTCTCTTACCTCTAGCCATGCGACCACAGTCGGCCCATCCCACTGGGCAAAAGGTAATCCCTTTCTCCGAGCTTCTTCAAGAAGTTCATGCCTGAAGTATATAGCAAAGATTATTAGTCAGGTATATGGAAAAATATGACTGTGATTATTTTTAATGACAATATTTTAAAACAACCAATCATCCTTTACAAGATTTTTTATGATACTATATAGAATAACAGAATTCCTTTTTCCTTTGAGTAATACACACACATCATCCATTGATTTTATTAGGAATGAAGCATTGACATAGAAAAGTAATTATTCCCAACATTTATTTATGAAAATTAGAACATTACGTGCTAATGGAATTAGAAGTGGAATTATATTATCAGCAAATATCTTATCCCTTCAATGAGAAAATGGCCCAAATGTTCATATTCAAGTATGCATTATGGGATCTAAATGTGGCTTTTTCCGTTTGCCCTGCTCTCTTTGCCTTACTATCTCCATGGCAAAGAAAATGCTTATATAGAGAGGCAGAAGATAAATTTGGTCCTTTTAGTCACATTCTAGTGATGTGGTTGATTTTAGTATGCCCTATGGGTCCAGGGGTCTATCTTAGGAGTTATTTGTCTGGACTAAGAAACTACATCTCACTTGGAGAAAACTCCAAGGTAAATTGATTTCTAACACTCGAAAGCAATGTAAGGTGTTAAATTCAATGGTACACTGGTTTTTATCTATAATCACTACTGTTTTAATGAAATTAAAATATCTTAGTAATAATAAATGGTTGTTTTGATAACAAAAAGATGCAAAAGAACCCTGAAAAATGCATCTATAATTTCACTGACTCTTACTGATTTTTAGAATTGACATCCACTTACAAAACCAATTTGAGATCACTCATTATTGAGATAGTAGCTATGTGCTTTCATTGAAACTCAAATTGATATATACTTGGCAGGACTATGTTGGAAAATACATTCTCTTTATTTTAGTATGCCTTGATCTTACACACAGATGATAAAAACATGGTATAATAATTGCTTTATTTTGAATGTGTGTTTTATGCTTAGGAATATTTCATGAAAATCATTTATGAACCCCCAAATGGATAATTTGATTATTTTCTGCTATTGATCAATTAGTTACTTACTGTGGTAGACTATATTAATGTATTAAGATATATAATGAATAAAATGCCTTTCAACACAGGGTTTTCTGTGTTTGTAATAGAGGCTACCAAAAATGCATTAAAAAAACCCAAAGGGCAAACTACAAATTTAAGTTATAGTAGCTGAAGAGACATAAATCAACTGCCGTTTCATTTGAGTAAGGTCTGCGTGTAAGGTATTCAGCACCTGGGAAAGGGAACAGCGACACCCGTGCTCTGAATCTAAAAAAGTAGAAGCACTTCCTCACCTGGCTTGCTCTATCATCCCTCATTCCCTCAGGTCTCCCAGTGACATTCCTTTACTGAAAACCAGTTTCAAATAGCTTAGCCTCACTGTGACAGATATATTTATAGAAATGGATTGAAGGATCAAAAAAAAAAATACCTATTAGGTATTTATTGAACACCTGTTGTGGACTGAGACTTGTGTTTGGTGTCGAAAATAGATATGGGTCTAATTTCCCAGGATATACCCTGTTAGATGGACAAAACAAACACTTGAAACTGTCCAAAAATACCATACAATACAATACAATACAATACACAAACAGCTGCCAACATGAAAACTTGGTGATGTACCTTCTGAAGTATGTCATTTTGGAAAAGGGGTTAATAGTCATTGAAGGTGTTGTGAAGGCATTGTGGCAATGGAGCTGGCTTTGAAAGAGGTGGGCAGCTAGGAAAGAGGTGGGGATGGCATTCCACGCAGGACAAGCACCAATGGGGAAGGTATGAGACTTAACACGAAATATGTGGAAGAAAATTTAGGGGAGGCCTTCACAGAGTTAAAGCATGTTGTAAGAGTTGTAATGTTAAATCCAGTAGGGAAAGGGACACTTCTAGTTATGTCATAGGTTAGGGACATTAAAAGGGAAGAAACAAATTTACATTTACTATTAGTTTTTACTTCACGTAGTAAAAAAGCAAGGAAATATGCACTAATAACCTAAGGAACACATAACATTTTCAGAAGTGTATTATATGAGTGGTACAACAGCTATTTTTAAATATTAGAACACTTTCATTTTGAAACTTCTGACTAGTTCCCTAGTAAAAATTCCACTAGAAAGGCCAGATTGATCCTGTTGAGTCTGATCATGTAACTTCTCTGCTCATAACTCTTCAATCACTTCCTGTCTCACTGGGAATAAAAGCCAAAACAGCTGCTACAATCTATTCTACCTATGTCATCTCTCTGCCTAAACTCCCACCTTAGTCAGCAACATTGGCCTCCTTGTTGTTCTTTGGAAACAACCCAGACCTCTTTTCTGCCTCAAGATCTTTGCAGCTCACCTGGAATGCTCTTCCCCTCTATCTCCACATGGTTGACTTTCTCGGCTACTTTAAATCTTTACTCAAATATCACCTGTTCTGAATGTCTCTTCCCCTACTCCCTGAAAACCCCACCTAAAAACTCCAATAAGGAATTTCTTATCCCCATTGTTTGCTTTATTTTTCTCCAAGGTATTGCCATTCTAACACAGTATGTTATTTACTCCTCATTCTGTCATCTGCCAATAAAATGTAAGCTCAAGGAGGCTCTTTGTTTTCATATATTCTGTTCAGAGATGAATTTGAAGTCTAGAACAAGGTCAGGCACAGAAGTGGTACTGAATAAATATTTGTAAATGTTAAAGAAAATGCCAATCAGTGTTTATATTTAGGTGCTTCTTGTTTCAGTAAATTGCGTTCTATAATGTTTTGTTTTTGTAGTCCAAATAGCTTTTTCTATTTTACCTTATAACCATGTACAACATTTTATGTTGTAAAGAACGAAATGTTTTTCTTGTACCTTACCTCCCCTTGAGCTTTTTGTTTCCCACTTTGTCACAATAGTACTGATTCTAACTGATCCCAAGAGTCTGATCTGTCTGGGTCTCCTGGTGAGAATTTGGTTAAGAGGCAACCCAATGTGCCCAAATCGTTCCGTTCTATGAACAGAAATATTGATAATACACTTGTTTGGGAAATTATTGAGCAATATGCCCACTGAAAAAGTTTTATTTTCTTTGGTTTTGTTTTGTTTAAATCACAAACTCTAATAGCAGGATGACTTAAGTAATCGCAGTCTAAGAAAATGAGATAAGGGAGCTCAAATCCTTTGGTCTACAACTGTTAGGGCAAAATCTCTAGCATCTGTCTTAGGGCTGACATACTTGAGACTGTGGAGAAATGGAACAGATGGGAGGGATGGCTAGGTTTTACACCAGGACTGTGTACTACATGATGGTAACTCTAGATGTGCTTTTCCTTAACCTGAGAGAAGTATCAATTGTGTAAAAAAGAACAGCATTGAAATTTCCAAAGCAATATTGCATTGCATTATTATTCTCAATTATAAAATAATCTGCACCATACAAAATTTATAAAAGGCATATATCTGGGCATGTTGACTTGAGAGAGAAGCAATGCTAGAAAAATACAGCAATGTTGGCAATGCTATAATAGTTGGAAATAACTGAATTTAATACATGATGATATGCTAACAGATTATTAAGGGTAGCATTAATTACATAAGGGCATGCTTATTCTCATCAAGTTTTGGAGTTACTGTCAGAAAAATAGTGATCTGAACTGTTTAAGAAATACTAAATGACAAACTGATTTGGCACAAACAAGCCTTTTGGATATACTGGTGTTCTCTGTTCAACCTGTCCATGTATGGAAAGGGATTTAGTCTGGAATGGATTTTCTTTGCAGCTAGAATTCAACTTTTTTAAAGGTCAAGTGACAGTTCTTCCAGTAAAAGGACATGATCACTTACCCCTGTACAAATTTAACTCTGAAAATTACTCTCTTTCCCTGTAGGCCTGAACCATAATTTAGTGTGTTTTTAAAAATAATTTCAGACAATCAAATATTTGACCATCTTTTCCCAAAGGATCACTTGTGCATCACTAAATTTTGGGGCATGCATTTCAGGTTTAAGATTCAGAATAGATTTTAGAGGACATCAGCAGTACTTCCTTTTAGAGGAAGTATCAGGCATGGAGGTGTTATCACTTGTGTCAAAACACAAACAAGAAAAGTACTAATTGCAAGAAATAGTTATTTTGAATCAGTACAACTTCTGAATCATTGTGCATTTTCAAGACACACTCTTCAATAAAGAATGCTGTTAGTATCCTCCATAGGCCTCAAGCTGTCCTATTATTGATATCAGTAAGTTACTGTGACTAGAAAGTGACATTTTAGGAGGCAACATGTGGTGAGCACTCAGGTCTGTGAATAATTTGCAAGCCCATATCTAAAGGTGCAGAGGGGAGGCTGCACTTGCTATGCCTGAACTGAAGACAGGAACGAAGAGTTGC